GTAAAATTCGGTTGGAGATTATCGTATACCTCAAAATTCTTCCCCTTTCCTTGATATGATTGAAGATTATGTTTCCTTAATGCTGGCGGTAGCTTTAAATCTGTTCTAAATGAACATCTTGGACTGCAGGTACAAAAGCAGGTATTATCTAAATGAACAATCTCTAACTGTACAAAGCATTTCTAAATTCTTCAGAGATCTCTTCGAAATTCTTAAGGGCCCATTTAATTTTTGTGAGATAATTTTTTTACCTTTAAAAGGTATGAAGATACTTTGAAAAAACCTGAATAGTCTTAAAAGTTCTCTGAAACATTGTTAGTAATATTATAATATTAGTTGCCTAAGTAACCTTCTCAAAAAACGTTCGGTTCGGTGTATAATGTGAGCTTAATGATATTATGCGACTTACTCGAAGTCTACATATAGGAAATTGTAATGGAAATAGACAGTTGAGGAATTGTTAGAAAAATATTCATATGAATATATTTAGAAAACTTCTTTATTTTGACCTTCTGAAGAATATTAAGAGAATGCTTTCCCTCTCCCTCGAGTTCTTCCTAGCATTTTTGTCCTTAGAGAAACTTTGGGGGATTTCTTCCTGAGAACATTTTTCAACTTTGTTTGATACAGCAAAAAAAGTAGTTCAATATGAGCACATAATTATTGTGTAGTCAAAAATTTGGCTACTGGTACTAAACATTGTGTTACTGCTAACCGCAGGTCGCCCTACATCATCCATGCGAAATACCCAACATGGACAAGCACTTTCGATTGCCATTAGATCAGGCCGTTTTCGTCAGCGTTAAACCGGTAATGATAACCATCTCCGAGGATTTGCTCCACTATAAACCAGAGGACAGGAAGTGCTACCTCGGACATGAAAAGTACTTGCACTTCTACAAACACTACACGCAAGAAAATTGCCTAAGAGAATGTTTGGCCAATTACACTATCCAGGAATGCGGATGCGTTGGGTTTAATATGCCCAGTGCGTATGTCCCTCTGTACGAATCAATCGTTTTGATTTTAATGTTTTAGCGACCAGTCAAACGGTGCTTTGCGGTCTTGGCAGCATAGGATGCATGAGAGAGAGCAAAAGTGAGATAAAATCGCGTAACTGACGCTTTACTGTAGTGAACTTTCAGTGAGATATTTGGAAAACGAGACTGACGCCGAATTCGGAAAGGGCCGCTGCAACTGCTGGCCCTCGTGCACTTCACTATCGTACGACGTGGAAACCTCGCAGATCGGCTGGGATTGGCACAAAGCGTTCGAAGTTTTTGACAGAGCCGGCCTCAAAGGAGACTTGCCAGATGAACGACAGTAAGCCCCTTTAATTTTACGCTCAATCTCAATTGTGCCCATTTTAGATCCCACTTTTCAAGACTGAACGTATACTACAAAGATCTGCAGTTTTTATCGTCGGAAAGAAATGAGCTGTACGGCTACGTGGATTTCTTCTCGAACGTCGGAGGACTTATGGGACTTTTCATTGGAATATCCGTCACCTCCTGCGTTGAAATACTATACTTTTTAACTCTCAGATTAGTTTGTAATATTAGAAAGTATGGGCGACGGGTATGGTCAGGCGAACCCGAATTGATTGATAGTAAAAACGAATGAAAAGTTTAGTTGTTTTTCTTTTCTTACGGGATTGCCAAAGGATTTAGGTCACGGAAAAATGTGTAGAAATTAAAATTGGTATCGTGGTACTTGAAACTAAACTATGCCATTAAATCAAATTACAAAACACTCTTCCAGATGGCGGTGTATTCCAATATCTAAGATATGGAATGTACAAATATTGAAACATGCAAGATATTTATAGACACTTGAATTAAAAATATCACACTTTTCTTGTAAATAAAAACCAAATTATTTAGTTTCAGTAAATTTTTACCTACATATTTCTAATTTTTAAAAGATACTCTTGTCAGATTATTATAATATCTAGGTAGGAACAGTATTTTAGATATAATATATTATACTTGTAATTATTTAATATATTATCAATGAGGTATGTACATTTATTTGATGGTAAATTAATTTATCAAAATCTTTAAATTGCGGCGGTGTTTGTGTTTCATTATGTTGTATTGAGGATCAATTATAATCAGCGGCGTATTTTTTTAAGATCGCTAATTGATGCATGTTCTGCTTGTTCTTTTTGCATTCTGCTTATGCGCCAAATTTTGCTTGGTCCCAACAAAAACCGCGTTCCCAATTTTTAATTCCAAAATATCTTTCAAGCCCCACTAAGTTGATGATATTAGAAGAAAGTGCCATTAATTATTAAATTATTTACTCTACACACAACTAACTACTTTCATAACTATAAAGTGAAAATGTTAATTTACAGAAAAAATTTCGTTAAAGAAATTATATAGAAGAATACAAAGAATTCACCAAGATTTCTAGAGATGGATCTAGATTTGACAGTAAATGAAGTTTCGCTTTTATAACTGAAACAATAATTAAAAAGGGACTGAACTTACTAAATTCAGTTTTCAGTGCAGAACCTTGCGCCATTGCTAGTTCCACCGAATACTGAACCAATTAAAAGAACACTGAATATCTGATACTTACGGACTCGTTAAGCTCTCTGTTAGAAATCCAAAATATATAGGTGTGCCGTTCTGGGTTGGTAAAGAATGCGCGTAAGTAGCGTAATTTTCGGTTAAAGTTATGGAAATGCCCAGCGGGAAATCTGGTAGAATTTTGTTACAAATACCCATGTTATTGGTAGTTTACTTTTGCTGTACTTCAAGATGTAGTCGGTTTTATCTGTTTGTGTAATTTAAGACGTAGAAGTTAAGAAACATGTGGGCAACAGAATTTTTGCGTCGATTTGAGAAGTATCTAGTCAATATTTGATACGGGGAGTTTATCAAAGTAAAATTTAATTGATTTAGATAAACGATGGCACTTGTTCAAAGTTGTAGATAAGAAAGTGCGATGTAAATGAAAGCTCGCATTTCGTCGGTCCTTATCGAAGATTTAAAATTGTGATGGAGATGCTCCAGCTAGACTTATGAAGGATGGCGCGCCGATCTAACAGAGTGGTCACTGGTCTAGGTTAATTTGACTTAGCGTACGTAACAATTTGTTGGGTATACATTCCAATACAAATTTTTCGGGAATTCGGCCGGCATTTCGAAGATTGTCAGTTAAATTAAGGAGAAGTGATAGTTTCTGATTCCTGTCCAAAGTAATTGTTTACGCCATTAGTTTCGAGTTATAGAAGGGGTGATTTATTTCGAATTGAAATTGTGTCTTTGCTAAAATTAAAGTTTGTATCCGAGCTGCCAATTATATAATGTCAATTGTTATGGAACCAGAATTGGTGATAAAATATAGATCGTTTGTACGCGGTTGTGCCTTTATTTTAAAATAATTCTATGAGAAGTATTTGTTTCTGTCGTTTATTGCATGTGTACAGACGGATTAAGACAAAAATTTAGATTATTTTTTATTTTATTTTATTTTGCCTTTATTTTTGAGCGGGGGTTTCAGCCAAGGCTGCGCTACCAACCCAACCCACTATACATTTACAAATATCCATGCCCGAACCAGAGACTCTTAGCACCTCAGTCCAGCTTTAACAGAACTGCGCCACACTGGCAACACAACAAAGTAGTGAGTAGGTACTTTTGCGACTTTTTTGTATTCGACCGTTTGTAACGAAGTAAAATGTTTCAATAAGGCATTGTTAGCCTACAGAATATTTGTTTGTTTTGTAGAAATGTTTATTTAATTTGTCTATGTCATTGTGTTACTTGTTATAATGAAATTTTTTTTGTATGTGATCTCAGAAAATTGTGTCGAATTGAATTCCAGTAAAAGTAAAGAAAAATGATGTTAATTTAGGTAAGAGAATTTAAAAGGCTTTAGTACTAATGCTATATAAGTTAATTTTCGCCCATAAATTTATATGATGGAAAGAAAATTAATTTAAACCTTTAGAGTTCGAATCGAAAGCTGAAAGCACAGTTATCTAAAAATGCAGTTTATATTAGAGACTAGCTGAATGTAACTCTATGTCCAAAAGTGTTACACTCTGTTTTCATTTGTCTCAAGTTTGAAGCAATATGAAAGTGTATATGTTACCGGACAAACCCGATTTTAGGACAAACTAGTTTGGACTAGGATGATCTCCGCAGATGTTCGTTGAAGTTTTGGCCCTTCCCTTTGATGGACCTCCTCGCCGCCTCGCACCTTTCCTTTGATGGAACCCTCTTCCGACATTTCGTTAAGCCGCAGATCAAAGGGAAGGGCCAAAACTTCAACGAACATCTGCGGAGATCATCCTAGTCCAAACTAGTTTGTCCTAAAATCGGGTTTGTCCGGTAACATATATATCCAATCTCATTCTCAATCCGGAATATCATTAACTTTAATCCCAAAATCTGCTATACCTATAACTCCTCATTATTTATCTCATAAGGCTACATACTTTAAAATTTTAAGTTACAGTCTGACATTAGCAAGCTGATAGCAGGGTTTTTCGTTACCCAAAGCTAAAATTTCAATATTTCTCAACTCAAAGCAATTTTAATTATCGATCTGTTAGATATGCCCTTCTTGATTCAAATTCAATGTGAATTGTAAAATGAAAAGCTAAATTTTTAAAATAAAAGATTTAAACTTTGTATGAATGTCTACCATTTTATTTTGGAGCTTAATTGCTTAATAATACTTGTAATTGTAAGCCACATACGTACATTTAAATGACACTGTTTTCTGTACGTTAGGAAAAAACCTGTAAAAGAATATCGGATATTGAAAAATCTTTGTGTTTGATATATATCCAATCCTATAATTAGTGCTTATCGAAACAAATTACTAGGTTTCCCTTTTGTACCGGATAAATAATAAAGCAGCGAATTCTGAAATAACACAAAATCGAAACGAGTGTGGGAACACGGTAATAAGGTAAAATTTACAATTTACATTTGAATTTATTGTCAATGATAGATTTGCAAAAGGATCTTAAAGTACATAGTACATTTGCAAGCTTAAACTTGAAATTTAAAGATTAAGACTTGATTAAATGCTGAAACCTAAAATTTAAAAATGAAGCTACTACGTCAGCATTTCATGTTTGAAAACTGCAAACGTATAGCCACAACTAATATTGGCATACTTGAAATGTCGTAAAGTATCAAATTTAACATCGAAGTTCTAAAGCTAAAATAAAATTAACATTGAAAGGTTTAGGTCGCAAATTATCGTCAAATGTAAACCCCAAGCGATTATACACAACTCACATTTAATTGAATCCATGCCCAACTCTGTAGTCCGCTCTTCAATTTCATGATTATTCCCTACCATCTGAATTAAAGCATTAGGGGATGTTGTCTGGAACACTGAATATATCTTCAAAATAAATTTTTTTAACAGCAGCTTTTTATGGTGTCTAAAATTATGAAAAATTTACCAATCTAGGCACTTTGAATGAATTTGTGGTCAGTGGCGTACTTCTGCATGGTGATGGGAGCATATTTTTAGCTTCCTAGTTCGAGCCAGACCGCTATTGCGATCATCGTTTTTTGGACATGTTAAACTTTCATCCAATGTCAACGTTTAACACTATTTTTTGCGCGATCAGTCATTTCTGACTATTTACCATGTGTGTTTCCATGACAGTACGTAGCATTTACCAGTTGCTATGATTACGACGACGCCAAAATTACTTACCGATCTAAAAACAGAACAGCAAAAATACTTACCGACGCCTTTTTAAAAATCAACAGTCTTACATTACATTTAATCTTTAATTATTGTTAGGTACATTAAACGTACAATTTGTGCTGTTGTTTCCTATAGAAAGACGCTCATAAAGTCATTAAGGAAGTACAAAGCTAGCAAACTACATCAGACACATGCACAATTTTATGAAATTATTAATTTCAATTTTGACAAATAAACTGGTTACCTAGTGATGTACACCATACCACTTCGATCATTTCGATTTATTCTGCTCGTTAATTTCTTAGTGCATATTTATATTGGTTACATAATTTTAATTTCGATCGCGCAAAAAATTTTATAAGCACGTCGAACGTTAAGGGTTACCGTTCTCAGACAATAATTGGAGTCGTCGCTTCGCTCCTCCTCCAAACAATTGTCTTCGAACGGTAAAAATCCCTTACCGTTCTCCATACTTAATATACTATTAAGCAACTTCTAAAGAATAAATTTAATCAAAAAATGATTCATATAAAATATTCTTCATATAGAGGGGCCCACTTAATGATGATATGCACACTTTCACATAACTGCCCCTTAAGTGTAGGGTAATTTAAGTTTTTTTAAGTAGAAACCTATACCTTTCATTGAATATTCTTATTCTACATGGGAAGAGAATAAACTTTTGTGGGTAACGTTTTTTTCCCACACTTGCCATTTTTTGAAGAACCTCCAAAAGCGCGATTTTTTGATCGAGCTAGGAAGCTGCTCTATCAAGAATTTGGCAGTTTTTTTTAACAACCACTACATATTCTTAACACCTTTCATGTTATTTTATCCAAATAGGGTACTCTGTAATAATATCTAATGAAAACAGTAGTTGCCATTAAACAACCCCCCCCCCCCCCGACCATGCAGAAATCCGCCACTAACCACAAACTTACAGTCTTCTTTAAAAAATGTTGCTTTGAAGATGTTCAGACAACATTTTTTACTCTAGAATCAATTTGTTGCTTCGAAGTTAGATTCACAAGTTGTTTCTCATCATACTTAATATTGGGCCTACGGGATAAAAAACCATGCTCCGCTCCAATTTTTCCAAATTTCACAGTTTCGAAAATGGATTTACAAGTACGATAAAACTGAAATTGTGTTCCAAAGATGAAAACGGAAAGAAGCAGAATTAGAATCTTTCTACCCTCATTCGTATGTTGTAGATTTAATCTTTAATCTTAAAGCAAGATGTAATACTCGAAATTAATTTTTCAACTGAAGCATCTATATGTAAGTATTGTAGTAAATATTCTTGAAATTCCGATAGACATCGAGGCGCCATAAACGATTAGACATCGGCGATAAAGAGCGAGAGTGGATGTGAGATGTGACCCATTCTTTCCGAGAAATATGACACGACGTGTTTGTTCGAGGACATTCTAAAACATGGCTGTCCAACTTCAAGTAACCCAAGGGCCACTTTAAAAAAAATACAGCTTGGAGGGCCGCATTATAACATCTTTGTATGCAACTTTATCAATGATATTGTGCATATTTCGTATTTGAGAGAAATTTACACATTTTAACGGCCCGTCTTACGGGTCGCAAAAAAATAGGCCGCGGGCCGCAGCCTTGTTCCGGAATATTAAGCTTATGATCTATTACGTTCGGTCTTAGTTTAATTCCACAGGTGTTCCACTCTACCTTTAATTATTTTTTATTGATCCGCAATAATAATAATAATAATAATATCCCTGGATTTTATTATTCGACAGACACTCGATCTATTAAGTAATTGAATAATAATAAATTACGATAATATAAGAGAAAAAAAATCAATAGAATGTGAATAACGGCTCATGCCCAAATGTCAAAGGAAATTTTGTTATTAGGTACCTAACCCATCGCTATCGCATGGGGTTATATGATAGCCGTTATCAGAATCGGATATGATGGCTTTGATTAGATTAAAAATACATCGACCTTTAGGAGTAACCCAATTTCTAAGCTATTACAAAGAAAGTGAGTGTTATAGATTGAGTAAGATGCCAATATTTTAATTGAACTACAGCGCCGTTGAATTGCGAGCGCGCCTCGAGTGCAAAATAATTTGGCGTTTGGACTCTATAAATAGTTATAAGTTACGTGCGACGCCCATCAAGTAGACGCTTGATTTATGCATTTTAACGATTACTTTACGCGTAAAAACGTCGGTCGTGTTCGGAAAACCTAGTTTAGGGAAACTCCTCTGAAAATGTGTTTACAGAATACCCACACGAATTCGATGTACACGAGCGTTTTGTGATGTGTTCCACTATAACAAAAATGTTAGAGGATTCTGTCACACCTACAATTAATTTAAATTAGTCCCAGGTCAGTAGTTTGCTATTGTATTTTAAGTTTGTGACAATTTTGGATGGACACGCTATTACGCAATTTGAGCGTTTTCTTTGTAAACGAAATCATACATTAGTCACTGTGTGTAATTTTCGTAATTTTTTGGCATGGTAGTTTAAATGCGGTTGGTTAAGTTTTTCCAGTCAATTTTGGAAAACTCTGTTTAATTAAGCTTTGCTAGTATGTTGGTTGCTCTCGCATTAAACACCAAAGTGACAAACCGAAATACTTCTGATTGATTTCAATTTGTTGCCCTAACTTTTTAGTGTTAAATTTAATTTAGGGTAAATAATCACGTATTTCGTGCGACGAAAAAAATTTGAAACGAGTGTTTGACCGGCTCTCTAAAATAACACGACCAGCCTTTAATTATAATGTCTTAGGGGTACATTTATTATTCTATTCCAATGCTTAACTACAGTCAATATCAAATTGATAGATACCGTGATAATCAACGAAATAAAATTACATTGACAATAATAAAATATGAACCACCCTTCCATTAGTACTTACTTATTTATTGATTGATTGATAATATTAGTATTCGTATATAGTGTCTTCAATCATTAAAATTCCGGCAATTCCGGCTGAAATTTGTTTTAAAAACAAACAACAACGGCAATTTGCAATAATTCAAACTAGTGCAAAAATATCTCTCTTATAGTTGTGACCTAAAATACGTTTAGTTGAATTACTCAATTATTTACCATATAGTCGACTTTACTTAGCGTATTTTCCCGAAACTCTTGTTTGTTATACGTACTCTGATATTATTGTAATCTTTACATCGACAATTTCCCATGGGAAATAAATTGTTATACCGCAACCACCTTTCCTTTGGCCGTTGTTTAGTCGCCTCTTACGACGCGCAGTGCCCCTGCGGTAGGGATATTCTTTCCCGTTCCTACCCGGGTAAAATTTTAAATAAAACTAGTCTACTAAGTCAATTTTAAGGCCAGAAACTTCGAGAAGATGGAACTAAGCCACTGAAAAAAAATTTCAATGCACGAAATTCGAGAATTACCTAATCTCTTTTTAGGCGGCTATAACTTATAAAGGGAGGAAACTATCGGGATGATTCTTTTGTTCGGGTTCCTACCGTAAGATCTCCATCTTTCTAATCCCATGTGAAATGTACAATCGTACTCCATAAAAAAATTAAGGAACGATGGAACTTACCCGGGAAGAAAAGGGGGCGGAAATTTAGAGTAACAATTCAAAATTTCCTTGACAAATTCAGATTGTAGATCCCTTGGTCCTTCTATTTGTTATAACTGCAGAGAAACAAATTAAAGAGGAAACGCAAATTTGACGACATAATTCACCAAAGAAACATATTTGATTCTCGCTTGTTTGGGAAAAGATATTTGGTTTGGTTCCATCTAAGGAATAAATTACTTGGTTGTTACCTGTTTATTATACACTTTCTACTTAAAGTTAAATTAAATTGTAATGAGGTGTACTTATTAAACAAAACATGTGAAGTCACCGCACTAAAGGCGAGGCGCCAAATCGTATTTTTACACAAGACTTGCTATTATTAACTTACGTCTGCTACGTTTTTATTCATGTTAGTTAGCGCATGCACAAATCCAATATTTACCATCTCTTTAGGCAGTATCCGCAGTTTTTTGGTTAATATCAAATCAAAAAACTGGACCATCTTCAAAAAGGTCCAAAAGTCCTTCTTAGCACCTTTTTGAAGATTTTGCTCGGGGCAATACTCGGGGCAACAAAATGACAAGACATCCTCAACTTCAAAAATTCAAATCTCTCACACAAATACAAACTTACCGCTACAAAATGGCCAACGTCCGCAAATTGAAAAATTCAAACTTACCGCCACAAAATGTCGCAGCCAATCACATCGCAGCAATGTGACGCCATAAATAAGGGGGAGGGGATAACGGGGCCTTTACTACCGTTCTGATTCTGGATTTCGGCTTAAAAAATTAACGCTTTTTAGTTGCTACTTTTATTTTCTGTTGATCGCACATCGGGTTCCATTTGGGTATTGCCTGAATAAAATCCTGAAACCCGCACAACTTGTCGCACACAAACACACGGCCCGAAAGTCACCTACAGAATTTCACGTTTAAATTCGTGTGATTCGGGGAAAAACAAGCTAGTCGAATCAATCAAAGCCAAGAAAAATTTTACATGTCGCAGGGGCTAGCTCTTTCCAAAGGGCAAAATAATTCCTAGAAATTTGCGTAATATCAATACGGGGAGGGTGTATAACACTCACTTATACGTTTGACGCATTGCAGAAGTTGCAGCGATCCAAAAGACAAGACTATATACCAAATAAGACTGAATTTGCAATAAAAGGTGTCTGGATTTTTCCAGATAAGCGAAGGGGACCGTATATGCGGGATTTTTAGACGGCAGACGAGACTAGCCTTTAAAAACAATTAATTGGCGCATTTACTCACATTAATTGGGCAAAATTTTAATACCAACACAGCCAGATATTTTATTCCAGTGCATAATAACAATATCGTGTATTACTTTCGCGAATTTTGAGCTGGTTT